GATGAGAGAAGACAGAGGAGCTGCTTCAGCAGCTCTCCTCCTGTCTGAGCGTGCAGCGCGTTCTCTGAGGGACAGTGCACAGGAGTGCTGCGGGCGCGCAGGCTTAAAAGCCTGAATTTTGCCTGAAACTCTCAGACTGAAGAAGTCTCTTGGAGGAGAGACGAAACGTTTCATTAGAGAAGAACCCGTCCAGAAGACCTATACAATTTTTTTCTTTTTGATTTTTTACCTGGATTACTGTGATGCATCAGGACACTTACATGTAAATTTTACCATTTAGCCACATTTACATTTAACTTTTACATTTTACATTTAGATTGTGTGTGGTGAAGGGAGGGTATGAGGGCAATATTATCATTAATAATATTAATACTGTTGCCATTATAGTTGTATACACTTAATAAGAAGTGCAACCAAGGGCGACAGATGGAGCATAAAAAAAGCGGGTTCGACAGGGGCACTTGATGGTCTGGAGGGAAAAGGGCAGGTGCTCGAGCACCACCTGATGTCTATCTGTGCACGTCCCTGCTAATGAGGCATCGTCTGTGTTTGCTGTTTTGACGATGGTCTAATCCTCCATCTCCTCTGGAGCCGGTTCTAGTCCCTGCAGATTAACCCACACACCATTTACTTCTCTGTTTCCAGTTTCTACAAGTGCAGAACTGTTTATTTGTCAGTGTATTTTCGCAGGATACAAATCTACAGTAATGCACTGTAAAAACATCTTACAGTACAAAACTGTTCATTTACAGTAAAACCACATAAAAAATTAATTGTAGCATATTGTATAAAGTTAAAATGTACACAACTCTAGTAATGTAAAACAACAGAAAACTCTTACAATAAAGTATAACAGATGCATTTTTCAAGTCTATGTCCCGTAGATTTAAGGTAAATCTGTATTTTCATCACGTAACTCTCAATAAAAACACTTGTTTAAAATAACAGATACTTCTAAAAAGTATAACAGTGAGAACGTACATGCAGGAGTACGGGCAGCGGCGTTTGTAGTAGCAGCAGTAGAACTGCCATTCCCGGTCCAGAACAGACTCAAAGTATTTGCTCTGCACACCTGCCACCAGGCCGTTGCGGGTGCATGTAGATGTCCTGCCAAAATAAAAGTCAGAATTTACACAATTACATACGTAGAGCTTCATTTACTTTCATTCAGACCTGGAACTTTGGGAAGAAAACCATTTTGATGAAAGATTTAACAGTATTTCCTTATTGGTTGAAGTCACAAACCAACCGCCAATCCAATAACACACTAAAGAGGTAAGAAAATTAGTGCAAGCTAACGCTACCTGGTAACAGCTAATTTAATGACTGTCATTTAAACAGTTTTATGTGGTGTCCACAGAAACATCAGAATATTGGAAAAAAAAGCTCAAAAAAATAATTTTTACATCCACCCAACACAGTTAAAGATACAAGCAGTTGGATCAGGAAAAAAAACTACACCTACACACAAGGTGCATGATGCAGGTGTTAAGCTGCATGTGTTTGTTTTGGTTTTCTTTAACCAATTTAAAGGTAACAAACATGACACACCAAATGTAAAAAGAAAATGTTAGAAAATATCACAAACACATTTTCATTATTTAGCTCACTTTCTGAGTTTAAATCCTAGTTTAAAATGTTCCACAAACATTTTGTTGTAGAACACAGCCTTTGCCCTCGGTGCAGGGCTTTTGTTATGATGTCATCATCCTGAGACAAAAGCAACCGCTAACGCTTGAACGCTGCTAACGCTTCCCTACAAGACATCAAACTTGAATTTGCGGCCGTTGTCTGAGCTGCACTTCAAACTGCCGGACCATAGGTACCATCTATGTTGTTTTCAATGAACACATGTTGAATTAAAAAATTTTAAATGCTATCTTTAGCAGCGTTAGCCATTGTTTTTTATA